CGGTTTGTCAGTCGGTCTGCTTTTTTTTTTAGACAGTGTGTGGCTGCCTAAAAAGAAGGCTGAGCTCAATCACCCAGTTAGTCACAGGAGGGGGAGACTGCTGGAGCAGGAAGACCATTTGCTTGATTGTCCTTCCTTTCTGTGCTTAGGAAGCAGGATGCTAGCCTGGGCTAAGTGGTCACTCAGAGAAGGCAACAACTCTCTGGGCATTATAAGAAGCAAAACTCTGTTTGCTCCAGAGAGGGGTGAACTTGGCTCTTGCTACCTTTACTCCTGCCACTGGTATTTCATGGCGCAGGAAAAGGAGGCTGCTATCTCTGCAGAGATAGGCTGGACAGTTATGGAACATTTAATCACCACCAATAAATCGGAAGCCATCCGGCCATATCGGATGATGGGTCATTGACCGGCAGTCCAAATAGTACAAGTACATTTATTATACAACAGTGCTATCACATCGTAACAATATGATAATATAATAATCACTTTTATTATGCAATAACTGGAAGGGTGTGCCAGGAGAGGATGGTGGCGTGAAACAGCTCCTTGCAATACGTCACCTAGTTGTCTGTCACATCCAAATAAACAGCTTGCCTGTTTCACTTTTTGGGGGCTACAGCTCTCAGAATCAGCCAATCCGGCTACCTTCCAAGCTCTGCTTTTGACTTGCTATTAACCACAACTTGGAAAAGTTCCTTTAAAAAAAAAAAAAAGTCCTAGTCGTGCTGGATGCTGTAGCCCAAAACCTGAAAGATTTCCAGCTCTACTCTTATTTCCACTAGTTCACCAGAAGTCAATTGTTTTATAAGTGATAAGCAGTAGTAGAGATTCCAGTGTTTTGGTTTACCTTTCCAGGGAACAAGAAATATAATAGCTTTGGGGTCAGATACAATCTGAAAGCCAGTTCTTCAAGGCAAATAACATTTACATATGGATGGTTTATTTACTAGCTCAGTGGTTTAGGTCTCTGACTGTGGAGGCAGAGGTCGTGAGTTCGATTCCCCGCTCTGCCTCCTTGGCAGGGGCTGGAAATGATCCATAGAGTCTAGAGATGCAGGTATTTGTATTCATATATGAATACAGATATCCCCACACAGCTGGAATTAACAAGGAGCTGGCCCCTGGGACCGGACCATCCACTCACACATCTGCCACTGCCACCAGCCCCGCTCATCCTTCCAATCGCTCCCGAGTGTCGTTCTCTTCCTGGTCGGCTAGCCACTCCTGGAAGAGGGAGGGAGGACGAGTCTCCCTGCAAGGCTGCCGAGTGGCTAGCCGAGCGGCACAATGGAGGAATTGGAAGGAAGAGAGGGGCCGCCACCGCCGCCGGCAGATGTGTGAGTGGAAGGTCTGGCCCAAGGGGCTGGACCCTTGTTAACTCCAGCTGTGCAGGGATATTTGTATATGAATACTCCCATCTCTGATACAATCCCTTCTAGCTCAACAGTTCTAAGATGATGATGATAATTACTACTACATTTGGGGGGGGGGGGAACACTCTCCAACTTCAACCAAAACTTAGAAATGCCACTCAGGATGAACCATCACTAAGCCATGTTTACATTTGGGATGAATTTTAGGAGGGGTACAATTAATGGCATTATTAGCATCTTATAAGACAGACTGCATTTTTGTTTTGTGCGAAAGTCAATGATATCAGTGATAAATTGTGATAGATTTTAGTATTGCATTCCTAAAACTCTGTATTCACTTTGAAGCTCTTGGTAAAAGCTGCACGTGTTTTCTTCCCATTGCAACATATGTGTCTATTGTATTTCTTTTCAAAGAATGTGTTTTCTTCCCATTGCAACATATAAACTTATGTGTCTATTGTATTTCTTTTCAAAGAAATTAAGGGCATTCATGAACCAAACACCTCAGTGGTTGCTCCATTGACATACCTCAAAACAGCTTGAACTTTGAGCAGCACCTTATGACTGTGTTGAAAATGGAACCTCTTTCTCTTGTTGAGAATTCTACCTCTGTTTGAGTGTGGCAAGGCCATTGAATCTGTCCCCACTTTTCTTCCCTTTTAGTTGAGACTTCTCAACCGAATTTTTGCTCAAGCTCCTGTTAGTTTTCATTGTCTATAGTTTTCATTAACTATTCAGTGCTGCTGTTGTATCTAAGGGACCTCTTTGTTTATTCTTTTCCTTTGCTGCTCTCTTAATTCGAAAGGAAAAATGGGCTTCAATAGCTCAACAGCAGAAGGAAGATGGTATGCCATATGTTTACCAAAATTTTGTACTTTGGCTAAGTGGGTGTACATTAATGATGTTCCTTGGACAGACTTTGGGAAATGGATCTGTCACTTCTATCAAATTAAGTGAGTGGCACAATCAGTGGGAAATCAGCATGTAAATATCCCCATTTCTATTTTTCTTTCTTTCCTCTTTCCTTAAATTAGTGGGGGAAGGAAGATTGCTGTAATATTTCACCCCTTTTTTAATGAAGATGGCTGTCTGAGGAGTCAGTTTGCACCAGGGAACAGTGACAGACCTACATTTGTGGGGGGGGGCTTCATAACCACTAACAAGGTCTGGGTAACCAGTGCTATCTTCCTCAATAAGGTTGTTCCACAACAGATGACCACATTTTTTTTTCAAATGTAGATTAAAGGCACTTCTGGAGCCCCACCGAGATTAGGGGCCCTTAAGCTTAAGCTTCATTAGTTTCATAGTAGATCCACCTCTGCCACAGAATAAGTACAAGGGAAGGGCTTAAATCTCTCTTCTACCCTATTCAAGTTCTGATCCATCTCTCTCCCTCATCCCCATCTGTTTTTAGAAACATAAACAGAAATTGGGAGTGGTAATGGATCTGTGAATTCTTTGGTTCCATGACAGTTCTGTTTCCATGTTTTAACTAGTTAACTAAAACTTACATTTAATTAAGAACATTGTATCACATACACTTATGCATTCTCCTTTTATTATTTCTAACGTCTATGTTTGTATTCCAATTGAATAAATGTCTTGTTTGGTTAAATATACTGTGGTTCTGTTTTGAGTCATTCTGAAAGCCTTTTCCCTACAACAGATCCTAAAGGTTCTGGAAAAGGAGCCAGGAGCGGAGGAAGAATCTTACATATTGGTGTACAACTTTGTAGTGACGCAATAAAAGTATTGCCCAGCCCAGAACTCTATTGCTTCACACTTGAGGGACACATCCAGAATCGGACTCGGGTGGATGGAAAACTCTTTCCACGTGTAGGAAACTCCTGATCTTGCCCAAGAGCTCTGCTGGTGGAATGGAGATATATCTGATCTCTGCCCCACCCATGTAGAAGGCTTGGGAATCCTCCAGGACAACGCTGTGGCGCTCCAGATGGAGGGAGGGCAATGTCCCTCACAGCCTTCTGCTAATAGGAGAATTCTCATTAGAACAGAGCTCTGGAACTGCTCCTGCCCAGCCTTTGGACACCTCAGTTGTAAAGCTAATATTATTCTAAACCATATCAGTCAG